GCAGTCTTTCACGGCATTTTGAACGGCCGACAGGCATTACAACCAGTATGGACTGGTTTCGACAAAAATGGACACAACTATATAAATATAAATGCGATTTTGACGAAGTGAAAACGGGTCCTCGTCTTGTCATAATACAAGTTTCCTTAAAGTTTCAGAATAACCTGATAAAAACTGCAGCCACTATTGCGCTGACAAAACGTGTGGACAGTTCGGCAAAAAGGGGCATAACTCTAGACCTATTAATCTCATTTTGCCGAAAAAAAAACCCCACCAATCTTCTTCTTGCGATAATAGAAGTAAGTTTCCAGAAAAGTTTTTTAAAAATTCGATAAAAAACGCCGCGATTGCGCTGACAAGAAGGAACGACGGGCGGAAAGGGTGATTACAATATACATTGTATATGTAAAGGACTCTAACGAAATTTAAAACTCAATACACGAATAGTTTAATTGTAACTGAGCTTCATAACGTAAATTCAAAAGATATTTATCACGGCTGGATAAAAGCAAAGTTCAACAGGGCAAGAGCTGTTGAAAATGGAAACACATTCTCGATACAGAGTTAAGCGATCTAGATGTAGAAAATGCATTAGAAATAATAAATACTTTAGTACAAAACTGATGAGTTTTGCATACTAATATTTCTCCAGCATTATGTTTACAAATAATAAATTATTCAATATCAAAAACGTAGTTAACACACTAAGTACCTTCTGCGAGTCTAATATAGAAACAGTGGAATATCTTGTGTTATACCCATTCTCACAAATAATATGGAATCATTGTAATACTGTTTTAGACCATATCAATATAAAGATAAATATAACAACGCATATCAAGCATTTTGTTATAACTAACAAACTCCATTCTAGGAATAATACTGACTGGGAGGAGGGTAAGCACGTGTTACCCCATGTGTCGGATGGATACCTAAATCTTGTAATATATTGGAATTATGTCATACTCCATGAACTTCCTTCAACGTTAGAAGTCTAATTTATTCCACCTCCATCTTTCATTTTGAAGAAGCAACAGGGTGTATTTTATTCTAACATGTACTTATATGGTAAAATATAACAAATTATAACAATGTTACACAGTTATGCTTACAGGGGGAATTTCTCGTGACCGCTTACAAGGAGATGTCGCTGAATAGGAGTGGCTGCTCATACAGATTCTACTGTACGACCACATTATTGTGGGCACATGAAAACTATCTGAAAGAGATCTAAAATTTCAACATCCTGAATTGTGATGCTAGTGGTCTCAGTTGCAGACATTAAACATACGTGACCCGTGCTGGCAAAATGAGTCACAATGAGGAAATTTTGAAAATCGAGTTACTGTTACTTTCACATTCTTGATCTCAGTACCATCAGAATAATAAAACACAATTTATATGGAAAACAATCACTGAGTTTATTTCACACTTCGTTTCAACAAGTTCCTCTTCTCGTTCTCAAGTAAATAATGTAATGGCAAGAAATCAAATTATATACAACATGATAACAAAAACAATAACTAATATGAAACCATCAAGGGAATAAAAATAATAAAAGAACAATAATGACATTACAAAATTGACATCAAAGATACCGATTAAAGATTAATTAGGCTATCATAACTCCTTGGAATATATAATCCCTCGTCTCTATTAAGTTCAGGTTTGAATCTCTTAATTTGGATGGCCTCTTGTAGATCTCCCGATAGCCATTTCAGTGCCATATCAAGGAATTATCTCTTACAAGATAACAAGAATCCTCCAAGAAACTGGTATCAAGGTCTACTTCAAAACGGGTGAAACTATAAAAAACATACTTGGTGCCAATGGAAAAACTGAATCGTCACCAGTTAAACAATCCAAGGGTTGTGTGTACCAAATCATGTGCCCCTGTTCAATGACATACATTCGTGAAACGAAATGGCCACTTGTAAAGAGGTTGAAACAACACCAATCGAAAAGTACAGACAACAAATCCGCTGTATATGAGCACCTGAACCTGAACAAACGCCACAAAGTAAACTACTCTGACGCCAAAGAGCTAAATAAACATCTTCATAACAAGAAATCCAAAAAACTACAAGAAGCCAACCAAATCAAGAGATTAAAACCTGAACTTAATAGAGACGGGGGATTATATCTTCCAAAGAGTTATGATAGCTAATTAATTAAGCCTAATTAATCCTTAATCAGTATCTTTCATTTTTGTAATGTGATTATTGTTCTTTTTATTTTTATTCCTTGATGGTTACATATTAGTTATTGTTTTTGTCACCTTGTTGTATATAATTTGATTACACTGTCATTATTTACAAGTGCAAATAAAATAGCTCTTGCTAAACTAGACAGTTTACAATATCGGGCAATAAAGATAGCAACGAAAGCTTCATTTGGCACAAAAAGGGAAAGTCTTTTGCAGGAAGTAGGTGAAATGTCATTCAAATTGAGGCGAAACGAACTGGCATTGAGATACTGGGCCAAATTACAGTATCTTGGGGACAGCTGTCCAACATTTAAGTGTTCGAAAACATCAAGGAAAAAATTCAAAAGAAATGTCAAATCAGAGACTCAGACTTTCGGACATAGAGCAAATGATCTATTAAAAGACCTAAGATTAGATCACTATCAGATTACTGATAGGGTATTTTCGTATCAAGCCCCATGGACCTTTTTACATCCAAACTATGCCATAAGCCTAGGTAACGTTGTCAAGAAAAAAGAAAATCCACAACAAGCTCTAATGCTATAGAGGGAATTCTTGAACAAAAAATGGTCATCGCATGTGAAAATATACACGGATGGGTCTCACGATCCAGATACTACCAAAACTGCATTAGGTGTGGTCATTCTCGAATTTAATATTAATATATCGAAAAGACTATCAGATGGATGCCCTATCTATACAGCAGAACTAAAGGCAATATCCACAACTCTTGAGTGGCTCGTGTCATCCACCGTTCAAAGAGCAGTCATTGTTTAAGACTCCCTCAGCAGCATAAAGTCAATAATACAGGACAAAAAAACACCTAGACCAGAAATTGTTCAGAATAGTCGAGAAAGTGTTTATTGTACAAAAATAAAACCGTATAATTTACATGGATACCATCCCATGTTGGCATAGCAGGCAATGAGTCCGCAGACAATCTGACTCGCAAAGGACTCAGCCTCTGCGAGACTGAATACTTAAAATATAGCGTTCAGGAATTTAATAGCATCGTCAAAACTAAAATTAAATCAGAATGGAAAATTGAGTTGGCCAGAGCAAATACTTTTAGATTCAATTTAAACAACGATCTGGTTGTAAAGACGGAGATTAATCACCCATCGCGCAAAATTTGTGGGTTAATCACAAGATTAAGAACTAAGGATTTAATTACCGACCATAAATTTAACCCAGTGAAGTGCGAATGTGGCCATAATTTGACCGTTAATCATGTCATCATTGCGTGCAATAAATTGGAAAAGAAAAGACTCCCTGTACAAAGTTTAATGGAAAATGCCAAACTTCAATATATCGTCCAAAATGTACTCTTCCCTCCTAGGAATATATCATATAAAATTTATGAAGCTATCTCAAAATTCATAGCAGAATCGGGAATTAACTGTTAAGTTAGTTGCGTTAAAAGAGCACTAGTCAAAGAAAGATAACTAGTTGTGTAGACCAGGTTGGCCCCTAAGCCACCTGGATGCTTTAATAATATGAGAACAAATTAACGTTAAGATAGGGAACAACATATCTAGTTACAAAGAAAGGAACTATTGTTGTAGGACAGTATGGCGGTTTAGCCTGCTGCATGATCTAATATAATAACACACAAGGGAAGAATAATAACAAAATAAAGGAATACGGACCTACACAACCATTATTAACAATGACAGTGCACATCAATCAATTTAATTTAACCCGTGTTTTAAAATTTATTTATTCCTATAAATGGTTCAATTTGTGTTGCTGCTGGCTCTTCTTTTCTTTTCAGGTAACTTTGTATCTGTGGATAGCCATACTCAAGGAAAACTCTAATGGAATGCCTTCAACTTTTAAACTTGAAGTCTTGAACTCTTAGTTAATTTTTTAACAACATGGAACTTATTGGACGAACACTTTTAATATGTAAATAATCTACGGGTCCAGCTATGTGGTTTTTACTGAGAGCACTTCGCTTTTCCACATAAAGCCAGCGGATTCTTTTTTCCCAACGGGTTTTTTTTTTATCCGCTCTGATGACGCCAAACATCAGTCAGTTGGACCTCCTGTGTTAACCTTATTATGACAAAGGGAGAAGACGACCCGCCCTCTCTTCTCACGACAGCGAATTTAAAAGTGTGCTTTAAGAATCTTTTGGTATCCTAGGATCATTTTATTTTGTGTTTTTAACAATTTTCAAGTATAAATAATTTAATTAAATCAACCTGTCCATAATAATCATATTCATTGTATTGGACGTTAAATCTTTAACAACATCATTATTTACTTGAGAACGACAAGAGGAACTTGTTGAAACGTAGTGTGAAATAAACTCAGTGATTGTTTTCCATATAAATTGTGTTTTATTATTATATATTCAATTACTAAATACGGTATGGTTAGTTTGAATCGAACACAAAATGACCGATAAGCCTATCGTAATTGAGAGATTAGATGGCCAGATGGTTAGCGCGTGCGCCATGCATCATAAGGTCTGTCATTGAGTCAACTAGCGTGGTTTCGATTCCCCGGTTGTACGTGACATGGGAGTAGGGTAGTCTGTCCAGCCCCATGGGTTTTATCCAGTTCCTCCGGTTTCCTCCCACTGCTAAAGACCCCTACACGCAAGGGAATTACTGAAATAAAATTGAACCATATGTTAGTCCCGAAATGACCTAGTTTGTGTCGAGTAGACGTTAAACCGCATTTCTTTCTCTCTCTCTCTAGCATTACCATATTCATACTGCTTCAAAGTTTTACATTGCTTATTTTTTTCTTCAGAATACGTAACAAACGTGTTTGGAATACTTACATTAAAAGCTTTTAATCGCTCGGGGTCATGATTTTTCGACAATTTTTCATTTTCATCTTCTTCATTATCATCGTCATCTTCTTCATCCTTGCTACCCAGAATATCATCACCTACTCCTCCTTCACTAGCTTTAGTTACCACGCTCTAGGAAATGATAAAAAATAGCTTTGTGAAATAGCATCCCGTATATATATATACACAGAGAAAAAAGTATCACATGAATGTTTTTGCGCTCAAGAGAAATTTATTACGTATATAAGTATATGCGAAAGTGAAATGAAAATGTTGTGTTATTCTGACCTTTATACATACCAGTGAAAGCTGACGCAAGGAAAGCACGAACCCTTTGCGTCATAAAAAGCATGTTAGTGAGGAAAGTTCACTGTCTGTATTTCACAATGGGACCTCAAAACCTCACCAAAGCAACACTATGGCAAGTTATTGGCATGAGGAATGATTGGATGTCAATGAGACATATTGTCTGAGAGTTGGTTCATCATCCCTCCACTATTAGTCGATTATTGTGAAAAAATCAACAGATTAATGAAGTAAAAAACCGTCAACGTTCTAGTACGTCTGGAAGAGAAGATTCAAGGATACTAGATAGATTGTAATATTATCTATAGATTGTAAAGGGTTTTGGTTGAATCAACCGCTGCCACAAGTGCTAAGTAGCGGAAATTGCACTTTTTAATTCGTCTTTATCTGCAACTCCATTAGCCCAGTCGTATGGAAGGGTATCGCTGCCAATAGTTAATGCTCTGCGACAATGTCGTTTCCATTGATTATATGTAAAAAGTACAATGTACAAAGTCCTAATACCGATAATGATAAAGTCAAAATACCTCTAAGGTAAGAGTTAAATGTAAAACGTCAAATGTTAATTGTTTAATGACAAATTTTTTGTGGTAAAATGTTTTTTTTTTTGACTGTCTACATTTTACATTTCTCTCATTTCATTTTACATTTGCGCTGTGACACATCCAATTTGTCCTTCACGCTTTCTACATAGCAACTTTCGCACAGCATCAACTTTTATATGCAAATGTAGGATATCACGTGACTTATTAATTAACATATACGGAAACCCGGCACACTATAAGGATATTCACCGCACGATAACAGTTAATCAAGCTGGCACACCATAAGAAACTATCTAGACGACCGTGCGTAATCATGAATGTGCCAGAAAATAATTGATAGATTCAAACAGCCAAAGAAAGATACTTTCCAGTAATTTATAACACAATAACTTGAATTTCGTATTAATACCCGTACTTTGATATTTTAAACACCCCCACTCTTTCTGGTCTCTCTATAAACAGAGTATAACGTGGCTAAGTGGGTAAGACGCTAGCTCGCTAGCCTGGAGGTCGGGTGTTCGATCCCTGCATTGGCCGAGAATGTTCATCCCGATTTTCCGGCGTGGTTCTCCCTTTTCAGTGATGCAGGACGGAGGGCCTGACAAGGACAGCTGTCTAGTCCTTCGGATGAGTCGAAAAACCGAGGTCCCGTATATACATTGGAATGCACGTAAAAGATCGCATGGCAGTTGGAATTCGATATAAGAGTAGGCGATAGTGCCGCTGCCCGGGCAAAATTTCCCTCATAGCACACTGTATGGCGTATGCCCGTCTTCATTAGCCCAGTATATGAGCAGAACAGTAGGACGTTAAACAGAGTTGAGTACAGCCTAATTAACTTTCATCCATTAAAAAAATAACAATATATAAGCATTATGCCCAACAAATAAATAATATATTTAAAGAGAGGAATGACTATATGTTTTTTAGTATGGACATAGAGAATTTTTGATTAAGCCCGATTTTAATAATTATTTTTTTTCTTTTTAAGATTCTTGATAGAATCCATGAAAGCTTATAGATCTAGTTATTATTATTATTCTTTTTTTTCCACTCGCATTTATGCAAAAATTACATATTCTACAGAAATAATCTATATACTACCTGAAAGGTATTCCCTTGTAATTAGAAATGTTATCTGAAATGACGTTTTGTCTTGCAGAATGTGGTGTCTACCACGCATGCGTATGCCCTGATGTTAAGCTCAAATGTGAAAACAGTGAAAATTCTGATGAAAATATTTGTCAATAGGAGTCGTCTATCCACAGTTTAGAGTAATCTCCATCAAGTTAAAATTCACCGGAAATGCCTCCATTTTGAAAATGTAAGTCAATCTTAAAAATCTATCTCGTCCTACAATTCTTATCCGATTTTCAATATCTTTTTAGTCTTGGAACCATTTGATCGCTGAGTTTAGAATTTTGAAACTAATTTTGACCTAGTAAGACTTTGAAATCAGGTAAAATGTCAATGACAAACGATAAATTGATTCATTTGGTACATATTCTGAAAGTTTTATCAAAATCAGTTTGTAAACAAAGGTTATGTGCAACTATAAAATCAAATTTAATGTGATAGATTATTGCACAGCACCTTTAATATTGGTTATGTAATTGTTTGCCATCGAATTGTCGTTCAGATGGGACAAAGATTGTGGTCCCGTGTACACATTGGCGTGCACTAAAAAGAACCCTTGCCAGTTGGAAAAAAATACGAGTAGACCGTAGCGCCGCTGCCCGGGGATAAATTTCCCTTTAGCACACTGCATGGTAGGGCGATAACAGTTTATCAAGCTGGCACACCATAAGAAACTATCTAGACGACCGTGTGTAATCATGAATGTGCCAGGAAATAATTGATAGATTCAAACAGCCAAAGAAAGATACTTTCCAGTAATTAATAACACAATAACTGGAATTTCGTATTAATACCCGTACTTTGATATTTTAAACACCCCCACTCTTTCCGGTCTCTCTATAAACAGAGTTGAGTACAGCCTAATTAACTTTCATCCATTATAAAAACAACAATATATAAGCATTGTGCCCAACAAATAAATAAAATATTTAAAGAGAGGAATGACAATACGTTTTTTCGTATGGGCATAGAGAATTTTTGATTAAGCCCCGTATCTTTATTTTAGATTTGTTTAGCCCCCTCCCACCTCACACACACACACCACCCTTCCTTCACTTCAACTTTAATCTTATTTTGTAAAGTTAAGCTAATATGAATGTCCCAGAAAATTATTTGCATATTTTAAAAGAGCAATCAGTGATACGTAACGTGGTATCTGGAATTTCGTATTTAGACCAGTATTTCTACTTGAATACCCCTTTAATAGTGTGATATTTATTGGATTTAAATTATGAAAATATGACTGTGCCAGAAAACTATTTACATATTTACAAACAGAAATGAACGTACTCATCACTAATATGTAACATGATACCTGGAATTTCGTATTTGGACATTGCATCCGGTGGTAACATTCCTACCTGTCAGAACTGATACGGTGTAAGCAAATAGAATTCATTCAATCAATCCTTAAAGTACCCTGTCCTATTTACGTTTTACATTACGCGAATCGGTGACACAATCCGCGAGGCTGGGCTCAATTACCTCTCAGTTATATGCTGAACTAGACCATTCTCATGATAACAGAACAGTACGATGGTACTTAACAAGTCAAGTCATGGATGTACAGCAACTGTCTAAAATTAAATGACGATGAAACCGAGAATATAACAATCAGAAACAAAAAGATCGTTAATCTAGTAGAGTGTCGCAATTCGAGCTCTAGCTGTCCGGCCACACCTGGCTTGCGGTCAAGGTTTAGACAGGAAAGACCCCTGTGCGTGCGCTAAACATAATAAAATAAGACAACTTGTTTGCGATATCATCATCGATGGAAGCGGAAATTAAACACTAACTGAAGGAGGACTAATGCACGTTGTCATGAAACACAAGCAAAAACTGCCAGTATTACCGGAAGTGACGCGATTTTAAAAATAACCTATTTAACCTTTAACCTTTAAAAATTGATAGTTTTTTGTTCAAAGAGTGTTATTCATCACTGTTTAAGAATAATATTTTCTACCTCCATTCAACGAATAGTATGCAGATATACGATCAGGGAGACATCAAAAATCAATGGTTATATGTGACGTAATAAAATAACACGTTACTCTAAATCAATTAGACTGTGTCTGGTCGTTCTGGTTTGAATGCTAAACCAATTTCATTTTATTTACTTTCATTTACTTTCAACCGTTTGGCCGCCATATTGGATTTTATTTTTAAAAAGGAGCTTTAAATCGACATTCAGCTGCCATCAGACTTTAGCAACTTTTTTTTATTTTGAAGTTCGGGCGAAATGGCAAAAATTCGCAAGGAACCGAATTTGAATTTCGATTTTGTATTTTTTTCAATTTCTGAAGACTTTACTAACCTATTATCTGGTAACCTATCCACACAGTCACCTTTGGCTTAATATCAAAAAGTTCAATCTTGAAGTATAGCTTCCGATTTTATTGAGAGTTGAAAATGGCAGTATTTTTCCAATTGATTGCCGTAACATAACTCGATATTACGTGACACATTCCACCGAAACGAGTCATACTGCTTAACATTTCAAGTATGATATTAACTTGTTGTATTGTGTGGCGTTGTCTTCTTTGTCATATTTCAGAAAAAAAACTTTGATAAACTAATTATGGAGTTTTTTATTTTCTAAAATAACAATTCAATTCTTTTTATTTTTTGCGCTAGCAAAAATCTTCCTAATTCCACACACAGATCATACTGAGGCGACTTGAACGATGTCAATAGAAATTTTCTAACTTATATCCCCTTGGAGAAATTTAATGATCAGAGTTTTCAAAAAGATCGACAAAAGTAGGTCAGACTGCCGTCGTTTGTTGAATTCGTCTGTTATTTCCTAAATTAATACATACATGGCTGGTGGCTTTGGAATGAATATATTTTCAAAACGTTTTACGAATCCAAAATCACCGAATTTTACTGCCAAAAACAGTTGACATACATAGCTGTAACTTTGGGACTATTTGACCTATTTTACAAATTCGAAAATTATGTCCTTGACATCTCACACAAAATATGGAGTTTGCCGATCGAACCGGAAGTGCCACAATCTTGAAACGTGAAAAATTCCTATGGCTTTTGCGATATTTTACAGTACTTACAGACATGGGAGTTACATTTTGTGAATCCTTGAAGGAATGCCCCAAAAACTAGTGCAGAATTTTGATTTCGGTCAAC